TCTGGCGGCGGCGACTCAGCAGGCGGCAATATGACAGCTGCAATCTCGCTCCGTCGCCGTGACGAAGGGAAGAAGCCTTTGAATTCCCAAATCTTGCTCTATCCCGAAGCCCGCCTGCCTTTTGACACACCCGCAGCTGTCGAGAACAATTCGGGCTACTACCTGGAATGTAACGGTATCTTCTCATTCGCAGATCATTATTTACCACGGGGTACGCCTCCGAGTCACAAATACATTTCACCTGGCATGCAGAGTGTCGAGTACTTGAAGGGACAATCGCGGGCCAGTGTGTATACGTCTGGGTTCGACCCATTGAGAGATGTGGGTGTGGAATATGCGCACAAGTCGAAGGAGGCAGGAAATGAGATTGTTTGGAGGCATTACGATGGCATGACACATGGGTGGCTGCAAATGACTGCTTGGAGCAAAGAGGCGGTAGCCGCAGTGAAAGATGTAGCAGCAGACCTGAAGAAATTCACATATGGAGAGTGAAGAGGACAGGGGCTATATTGGTGCTGTAATGAAGAATGATTTTATGCTTTTACTGGTAGCCGATGCCGTCTACCATCTACTCTCTCTTCGCATCCAATTCACGGCTCACGGTATCAAAACATAAGGTGAGTTGACTGTTGCCAGCAAGTGGCAGCCCATCTCGCCTGGGCAGATGCAAGAGAATAATGCGTCTATGAGGCAACACAGTACACCCAAAGCTTAACTTGAGTATCCACTTGATCTCATGTAGATGCTGCGGATGGTATCCCAATCGAAGTGAGGCGACATGAGGTTCTAACCCTGGAACCCGAGCGCGCTGAGCTCCTTGCGAATGGACTCTTCAGTACCAATCTTCTTGATCTGTGTGTCCTCGAGTTTCTCTCCACCAGCTTGTCTCATCTTTAGCTCATCGATAGCGCGGACCTTTTTGAGAAGACCACGGATCTTCTTGTCCTGAGGGTTTCCACCGTCTCCAGGGCTGGTGACAGTAAGATCGGGAGCGGGGGCGTTTTGAGTCTGGACGGCAGGGGGTGCGCGAGCATCCTGACCACGCTGCTGTTGCTGTCCATTGTTCTGTCGCTGTTGACGATCTTGGCCAGGTCCAGCACGACGATCAGGGCTGTTACCGTACGCACGCTGCTGGCTAGGACTCCTTCCGTAGCCTCCGTTCTTGCTGTGGCTACGCTGGCGACCATCATGACGTTCAGGGCTTCGTCCAGCTGGTCCGGTGGGCGCATCGGCAGTCAGACCGGCGGCCTTGTCGGCGGCCTCGCGAGCCTTCTTCGCCTCGCGCTTCTTCTTGTTCTTCTGAGCTGCCTTGGACAGCTCTTCGCCCTCTCCAGTACCAGAGAGGCTGACACCGCCTCCGGGCGCAGCACCCGGCGGCAGGTTTGCGGTCGGCTCAGCACCAGGGACCTGACGGCGTCCGCCTCTTCCAAAGCCATTCTGGAAACCAACATTGGTAGATGATACTCCAGTGTTGGTGTAAGCTGCGCCACCCTCATCTTCACGCTTAAACATGAGAGGTGTAGCGGTTCCTCGCGCACCAGGGGGGCGATAGGCACCAGCAGGCTTGGATGGGGTCTTCTGAGTGGCGGTGAATGCAGCCGCGGATGGGTGGGGCGCAGGGGCAGTCAGCACATTGTCCAATGGGTGCTGCTGGGGCGACTGAGGGCGCCAGGTAACGTGATATAGCTCAATCATATCCTGGTTATACATAAGAGGTCCGGTGACGTGGTAAATGCGGATGCCGTTGTCCACACGGAGGCGCGGGGCGGTGGTCGCGGTAAGAATGTGCCTGCCGTCTGGGCTCCACTCGCAGTAGGTGCAGTTGGAGGCCTTGATGGTAGTGACCTTGTGGTAGTTCCTCTCCAGATCATAGATGTCCATATCTCCAGCCAAGTTGCCGAATCCAGCAACAAACACAAAGCGACCGTGGGGCGAGAAGCTGATGGTGTTTCGCGGGCCCAGATCGAAGCTGTGCTGAGGAATGGCACGAGCGTTGAAAATGGTAGTCTTCGCAGGCATGTAGCCGTATACCACTCCAAACTCCTTGGAGTTTGGCGACCAAGAAACGTCATGGATAGGACCCTCCTTGTCAAGCTGAATGCGCGAATCGAAGGAGCCATTGGCGCTAAGAATGTACATGTTGGTCTCGCCGTAGTAGCTCTTGTTGGTCTTGTCGACATCAGTCTGGGCCAGCACGATAACGCTGGTGCCCAAATCGTTCCACTTCAGTTGGACTTTGTCACTCTTGTAAAAAGTCTTTTGCGAGACAGGGGCGTTGAATTGGGGCACCTGGAAGACTTTGACTGCAGCGGGCATACCCTGTCTCGAAGGTTAGTTTGTATCATCCATCTGCTGAATATCGACGTACCTTGCGCTCGGGAACGAAAACTGCAACTGAATGGTTCTTTCCAGGCGACAGGGCGAAGTCAGTAACGCCCTCTACGCGCAACTTATTCCAGGGGTTGCGTAGATCATCAGATTGGAAGAATTGCACTTCGTTGGTGACCGAGCGTGCACAGAATTTCTCATCGGGAGAGTACTGCAAGTTCCAGCCCGTCTGGGACTTCTGCACGTATTCGCCGACGACGGTTCGCTCGGCGGCCTCAGACTCGTCTGGCACAGTCTTCCAGACCTTGAGGTTCTTCTTGGCGTTGCCTTCCTCGTCCTTTGAAGGAAGCTGCCATGTAATAATATAGGTTCCCAGAGGGGAGAAGCCAAGCTGGAAGACGTTGAGCGCGGGGACCGTCGAGACAATGTTGCCGTTCGAGGCGTCAATCACCGAAACCCTGTCACAATTCCGTTAGCGAGGCTTGCCGTATTGATGAAGCGAATGGGTGTCTTACTGTTCGGGTGATGCCCACGCGAAGTACTTGCTATCAGGCGAGTAGCATTTGCAGCGAAGGTTGCCCTCAGGCCTGGTCGCATCAATTAGCACATTGACATACAAAAGCTCACTCGATCCACGTACGGGGTGAAGCCTGGAAGAGCCTCGTATGCGGGAGCCGCGTTGAAGACCCCGATGCCCTTGGAGGTGCGATCTGGCAAAGCGCATTAGCGTGAGTCGAATCCTGGCAGGGCTCGCAACGTACAAGCCAACTGTGTGGGAGCCGCCATGACTAGTCAAAGTCACAGTAGATGATACAGAGATGGTGGAGGGGCAAGGTGCTGGTGGTCGAGAGTCTGGCTGTGCAGCTGGGAGGTTGCGTTGGCGGTGAGAAAGGCTAAGTAAGACTGAGACACGTTCGCGTGTGCGCGAGTGACGTATTTCGGCGATTTGATGGATTACTTCGTATAGCCAAGGAGCAGACTTGGGGGAGACGACCACGCAGCGGCAAGGGGGCGCGGGGATTGTCGACGTCGCAACGGAGGTCTGGGAGATGTTCGTGACAGTCACCTAATAACGTGAAGGGAAACATTTCGACACAAGGCACGCGGCAACGCGCTAGTGCGTCGGCCCGTCGTGAACCGGTACTCTCGTCTCGCATTCATGTGAAGTCATTAGTCACGCGCTGTCAAACCAAACATTGAACACGCTTAGTCCAGCACCAGCGTTTGGATACACAATACACCTGCAGTCACCGCCATGACATAGCTGGCCTGGATGTTCAAAAACCCAGCCCGCTATCGCTATCTTAGCGCGTCGGTTGCAGCCGCAATGCTATCGCAAGCTTCCGAGCTCCATCTTCCCCAGCCCCATCGCGTGCTCCTCCATTTCTTTCCACCATCCATGTGAATCTTGGTCAAACGGCAAACATGCCTACCTCAATGCCATGTCCGTCTATACGGATACCAATGGAGCTTTTGACGCCCACTGCCTTCTCGCAATTCGGTACTGTCATCGAGAACCCCGCAACCTCTCCAAGCTCCAAGCTACCGATACCGCAACGCATACCGCCGCCCAAACATGTCCAGGCCAACCAGGGCTCGGCCACCAAATATCTTGATGTGACCCATATGTCGAATCTATACAATCTGGCGCCCTCGAAGAAGCCTGCAAAAGCAGTAATGAACATGTTCGTGTGCTCACCACGAAACCTGCGAAGCAACGAACCGAGTGAGAGCATGCCGAGTTCGTGGGGCGACCTCGACCTCGATGAAGAAGAGGATGGCAACGGGAATCATGAGAGGCAATTACTAGACGTGACCATCCTAGAACGACATCCCTTCACCACACAAACGTTCATCCCAATGGGCCTGTCGCAGCAAGACAAACACACACAATACCTTGTCATCGTTGCGCCAACACTACCAGCAAGCGCCTCGAAACGACACATCGGTCGCCCGCCACCATACCCTACCCCTGTAGTGGAGAGAAAGAAGAGCTTCCGAGATATCTTCGCAAGAGCGCGACCGGCACCTTATTCCACAGATGCTGTTCCACCACCTTCGCAGTTCGACAAACTGCATCCTTCCGCGCGACCCAAAGGCCCTGGTCTGCCGGATCTGAAAAACCTTCGCGCTTTCGTAGCTACCGGCACCCAAGCTGTGACCTACGGAGCAGGGACATGGCATGCGCCAATGATCGTCATCGGGGATCGACCGATAGACTTTGTTGTTGTACAATTTGCAAACGATGTTGGGATCGAAGACTGCCAGGAGGTTACTCTACAGCCAGGCAAGCTTGCACAGGAAGGTGTCGTGGTCATGGTGGATAGCGACGGCGCGGGCAAGGTACAGGTCAAGGCTGGTGTTGGATCTGTAAAGGCCAAGTTGTAGGAAACTACGTATATCTAGGTACAAAATAGTAACGTTGAATGTCCACAGTGATAAAGACTCATTTCTCGATCTGCAACTGCAGAAACGCAAGTACCTCGAACAGCACATTGGACAACCTCTCCCAAATGCCAGCTGGTGCCACACCTCTAATAAGAGCGGCATAGTCATTGACAATATCACTTCATTCAATCCCGCACATTCTCGATAACTCAACAGTTCAAGAGTGCCAAAAAAAAAAAGAATCAAGAAGGAAAAACAAAAACATTGGTATCCAGGGTCAGTTACGACAGAGACGAGATTTGAACTCGCGAGGCCGAAGCCATTAGATAACTTAAATCGGTGATTCAAGTCTAACCCATTAACCACTCTGGCACTCTGCCCAATGATCGATAAGCATTTCATCGCAGTCTGTCGATTATATACTTGTAGCAACGGCAGAAAAGGGTTGAATGCGCACGCTGACGGAGTATATCAGGACCTGAAGCTTGAAGCTAAGTGCGGGGCGTGAGGTCTCAGCGTTCAGGTGGCGTCGGTACTCCATCTCGCTTCATTGGTCGTCTACAGACTTGATTTCTTACTCAGCGACCAGGTCCCCTCCTTCTCATCATGAACAACTTTCCCTTCCCCCTTCAGCTTGTTCAGAATCTGAACCACGCCCTTCTCTGCTGGCTCCCAAAGGTTCTCTGGGTAATCCTTGTAAATTACCTTGACAATGGCCATTGAAGTCCACCCGTCCTTTGTGTCCTGCGCAAGCACATCGAGCACTTGCTGCTCACGCTGTTTCCGATGCTTGATGTATTCGTTGACCTTCGCTGGGCCGTTCTCGATGACTGGGCCGTGACCGGGGTATGCGCGCCCCTTGAATTGCTTTGACATGCTGTCTAGACTCTTCATGTAGGTCGCGAGATCTTCGAAGACCGCAGTCCCTTGGCCGAGCACGTTGTCGGCTGTGAACATCGCGTCTTCCTCTTCGAGTATGAAGGCCATATGATCTGTTGTGTGGCCTGGACAATGGAAGGCTCGGAGCGTTGCGCCCTCAGTCTCGAATTGCTGGCCATCTGCTATGTCGAGCCAATCACCGTCTGAGTCGTGCTTGTATACTTTGGTGTTTGGCGAATAGTTGAGCAAGTCAGGTACACCCTGAATATGATCGGGGTGCCAATGCGACAAGAGTGCTTTCTCAATTGTGATGTTCTGCTTTTGCAGCGTTGACTTCAACGATTGTATCCATGCTTCCTTGCCTTCACCGGTGTCTATGAGCAACCGTTTTGCGCCGGTACCAACAACGTACGTGTTAGTGCCTATATTGTTACTTTAGTAGTTTGCATATCAAATGTCCAACTGTTGCGAACCTTGCAAGGTAAACTGGATGCTATGTCAGAGCTTCGACCCACAGCCTCAAGCATATGACTCGCTTACTTTGGATGGATTGCCTCCAAGCACTCTAATGACCCGATCACTGAGCTTTTCAACGTCCAAGAGGGGTACCAATGGATCAGACATCTTCGAGTAGAGCCTGCGCGACGTGCAGCGAGCAAGGTGAGTAAATCGTGGAAGCATGTTCACCTCATCCTGTCACTTACCTCCCAATCGTTACCGAGGCCTGCCGCTTATCTTAGCGTGCTTCTTCCACAAATGACGAACATGTACTATCACCTTTCAGGAACACCACGTACAGTCATCTTAGCAATTCCAAAATGCCGATTGACGACTCCGACGATGAGATGCCGTACGTTACTCTTTATTAGAAATTCCAAAATGCTAAGCAGCGAAGACAGCTCTCGGGCGGGGCTCTCGATGCGCTGAAAGAATTTTACGGCGAGCGCGATGCACGACTGAAGCAATTCGAAAGCTTGAAGTCGCAGGCTGAAGATGACTTTGAGGGGAAACTGTCTATGGATGCTTTCACTGAAGACTGGAATGCGAGTCAGTTCTGGTATAGCGATGAGACTGCTGAGGTCCTTGCAAGACAACTCCTGGATGGCGCGACAGACGAGACGAGGATAGCAGTAGTTTCTGCGCCGAGTGCTTTCATTCAGTTGAAAAACTTGTTGGTACGTGATATCAATTTATATTGATCTGAAAAGACTGACGATGAGGTAGGCATCTGGGGAGTACAAGTGCAGACCACAGATCAAGTTGCTCGAGATTGATGAACGATTTGGTGTGTTCAAAGAATTTGTTCACTATGACTTCGAGAAAGCGATACAACTGCCCTCTGAGCTCAAGGGTACTTTTGATCGCATCATAGTCGACCCACCCTTCCTGAGCGATGACTGTCAAACCAAAGGTAAGAAAAATGAGTACCGAAGATAAATAGCGTACTTCTACTGACTTCCTGAAGCTACATTGACTGTACGGTGGCTTGCCAAATCTTGGACACCCGAGTCTGTTCGCATTATTGCATGCACGGGAGAGCGTATGGAGAGCATCATCACCGGGAAGCTTTACGGAAAGGTGGGTGTCAAGACTACGGACTACGACATCAAGCACGCAAAGGGCTTAAGCAACGAGTTCAGGACCTATGCCAACTTTGAGTGTGAGGCATGGAAATGGGCAAAGTCTTCATGATAGTATGAAGCTCTTGTGTAGTAGACTCAAAACAACAATACGTGGTAATCTAAACAAAAGTTATGTTTTTTACTCAATTCGGCTTCACCATTCTTGATATCAAAGTCCAAACGTTCATCACTCAGGC